CAAGCAGATCAGGTCAGGCCCTCTGAGTCCCAGGCTGCCCTGCCAGTGTTGTCATACTCTGGGCTCAAAGAGACCCTGCCCAATCACCCGAGTGACAGACACCTGCCAGTAGCAGACAGGGGTGTTTGGGGCAACCCAGGTACATAGGAGGGTCCCTGGTGGTCTGCAGTCACTGGAGCCCTGGCAGATTTCCTGCCTCAGTCTCTACATCCAGGAAGGTTTTGCTGCAGTTACCACACGCAGCCCCTGGGGCAGAGGCCAGCAGAGCCACCCTGGTTCCTAGTTCCCAGCTTCCTGGGACAGCAGCCCCCTGGATATTAACACCAAGACCTCTCTGCCCCCCAAGCCAGAGGGTCACCAGCCACCTGCAGCATCCAGCAGGCAGGCATGTGTGACAGCCAAGGGGCCCGGTGCAGGGGCATGAGGGGAGATTCAGCTTTGCCCCTGGGCTCCTCGTCCTCTGGCATGAGCTGAGCTCTCAGGGGATCAGACCCAGGTCATCCTTGGCACTGTCCCTCCGCAGTGGGCTGCAGCATGCAGGAATTCTCCCCTTTCCCTGCAGCCTCCACCTGCCAGGCTGAGCAGTGCTCCCACTCCCTGGCTGCTCCTAGAGCAAGGGCCCCAGGAAGGGCAGCCTGGTTCTTTAGATGGCCTGTTCCATAGGTTGCAGGCCACGTGACTGGCAGGAGGGCAGAGGACCTGGAGAGTGCTTTGCCTGAGGCAGGTGCAGGGAGATCTGCATGGGCTCCGTTCTGGCTCCCTGGGCAGTGCTGGGAGGCTGGGCTCCAAGGAGGCTCACCTGGGCACAAGGTCCAGAGCACCTGCCCAAGCTCCCCACCCCCAAGAAAGCAGGCAGGTGGGCCCCCCGTCCTCTGGTGGCTGGGGGTGCTCAGTGACCATTCCAGGCACGGCTACAAGTTGTAGGCACCAGCCTGACACCCTCTCCTTGTTTCTCAGGTCACAGGTCAACCTCAGGGATCTGGCAGCATTTGAAAAATAACATTTTCCTAATTGCATCAGCGTGGCTGCCTGTTTTCCTTAGCCACAAGCGGGCTGGGCCGCAGGAAGTAGCCGCAGGTGGGGAAACACGTGGCTGAGGGGTGGGGACTATATGCTCTCTGTTTTGCCCCTTTCTTACTGAAAACCGTTTTCAATGGCAAAACCCCAAAAGACCATCGACTCCTCAGGAACTGCTGCCTGTACCACCCTACCTCTTGGGTACGTTGGGTTTTCCCTCCTGGCCTCAGGTCCAGCCTTGGAAGTGCCAGGAAAGGGCACAAGGGAGGGCCTGTTTGCTCCAGGGGCATAGGCAGGTGGGGCAAGGAAGTGCACTGGGAGGCCCCGCCCCCAGACATGGCTTGGGAGAGCCAAGGGTGAGCTGCCCTTGTTCCCTTGGAATGCTGTTTCACACCGGAGTGAGCATCGTATCGGCCCTGGAGGCGACCCACGGACTCCCTGGCATCCTGCCTTGTCCCCTCAGCAGAGCCAAAACTCCACATGAACATGATTGTTTGCCATGCAGGCTGCGGGCCAGGGTCCCCAGGGCCTCTTGGAAAGTCGCCCTTGTGGGAGGACATAGCTCCCCAAGTACCGGGGCATAGAGGAGACAGCTCACTGAGCACCAGGTCCTGGGTCACATCAGAGAGTTTTGGGGCACATGGGCGTCGCAACCCCCATGTAGAGCTAGTCCAGGTACAGCAAGAAAACAGCTGTGGCACAGCTGCCAGGACTCTGGGACCTATGCCTCCTGTTCCCCTTCCTGCTCCTTCCCTGTGTGACCCAAAGGGACCTGGAGGATGTTTGGGCCCTGAAATCACACTGCTATCCTTCTGTCCTTAAGATGGCTGTGCCAGCAAATTGCCAATGTCCACAAGAATTCTGTGCTTTGGTGGCTTTGGGAGAAGCCCACTTCCCCCACCTTCTCTCTATTCTCTGAACAAGGTGTGGAGTTCAGCCGTAGGACTGGCTGGCTCCCGGAGACACAGTGGAGCCAGCAGGACAGCACCCACTTCCAGGCAAGCTGGGGCAGCCAGAAACCGCAGGTAAAGAATTCCCAGCCCCTCTCAGGGACTCTCCGGGACCCAGGGGGAGCCAAGGGCTCTGATGGCATGAGTGTGACTCAGTCCTGGTCCATGAATATCCCTCCCTGGGGATTGTGGAGCAGAGGAAAGGCAGCAGCAGGAGGTGCTCCCCCAGTGCCTGGCACAGTGGTGCTTCATCTACAGCAATTCTCAGTTTGAGGCTGAGTTCTGGTGGGCCAAGTCTGGAACCCAAGAGAATCAGGTCCCTAGGATGTCTGTCCAGGTCAGGGGGAGGCACCTCTGGGGAGCTCAGTCTCAGGATCCAGCCTATGGAATGCACCCAGAGGCCAAGGGTGAGCAGGGCAGCCCACAGCCCACTGTCTGCAATGGAAGCCCTCTGGTGCCCACAAAATCCTGGGCTCTGACCATCTAGCCCATTTGGCAGTTGTGTCCAGTGCGGGGCACTTCGATGAGCCAAGTGGCAGCACAGAACCTGAGGCCCCTCCCTGGCCAGGGCTGCTGCCTCCCTCACACAGGGTGAGGACACTTGGAGTCACAGAGCCTAGGGGCTTCTGGAGGTCTCTCTGGTGGGAACCCAGTTGGCCTGGCTGCAGCTATACTCCTGCCTCACTGCACGGCCTTCAGGCACCCGAAGGGGACTCTCCTAGGGCCAGGACTGCCTCTTCTCTATCCCTTCCCCTCTCTCCCCTTGGTGGTCAGGGAAGCAGCAGCAGGGCTGAGGAAAAGGTGGTCAGAGACACCTTCCCTCCTAACGGCAGCAGGCACTCCTCACCTTAGATGGGGAGCTCGGCTGCCCGCTGCCTGTGAAGGACCCTTTGCCTGAGGACTGAAGGAACAGATCACTGAGCCCAGGAGGGAAGGAGCGGGGGCTGTGTTCTCGGCTGTCATGATCATTTACGTGGAAACCCAGGAGGATCAGATGAGAAATGACTAGAACAAATAAAGGCCTCTGATTCAGCAGCCCAAACCAGGGCACCCACAAACCAAGAGCAGGAGCATCCAGGAGCCAGAGACACTGCTGGGGAAAGGTTCTGCCACCAGGCGGCAAGGTGCAAGAACCCAGGACCTGCCTGGTTCTGCCAGGACTGTGCGATTCCCTGACGGCTGGACTGGGAGCTGTTGGGAGGGGCGGGAGCCATCATGTTCCCGTGGGCCCAGTGGTCATCCTCCAAATGGGCAGTTAATCGACTCCCATCAAGAGCATATCATCATTTCCCCAGAATCTAACAAATGTTTCAGAAACTCATGCTGAAGAGTGAAAGTGCAGCAGCAGCTGAGAGGATCCTGAGAGAACAGAGTGGGCTCCTCCCGCCAGCCATGTGCACCATGGCACGCACAGACATCCTGGCGCGGACACCCTGGCGGGGCTCTTGGGGGGGTGGGCTGGCGTAGGAAATGACAGACAGCAGTGGAGCACAGCTGAGCGCCCTTGGCCACCCCATCTGCATGGGGATGCAGGTGGAGAAGGGGGCATGGTGGACAATCCTATCGTAGGGGTGAAAGCCGTGGGACCAGTCCTGGTCTGACTTCGGTAGTGGCCACGGGTCCCACGGGGTGGGAGAACTCTTGCTATGGAGGAGCCGGCAGAGAGCCTCTGCAGTGGGCTCAACCTTGCTGTTTTTCAGCTTGGGGCTGGTCCCCTTGGCCTCAGCAGTTCAGTGCACAGACCCAGGAACAGGCTCTGGAGCCTGGGCCCCTGAGAGATCTGCTCTGCCGTGCGCCTTCCACTAGATCAAAGTAAGTAGAACTGGAGCCACCTCAGGGCCTCACGCCCAGGAAGAAACCAAGGAAATGTTGGAATTGCCTAACATGCTAGATCCCGCAAGGCATAGAGGAAGGGGTCTGTGACCTTCTGCACCGGAGTAAAACTCGCCGGTTGAACCAGAGGTGCTGCTTGAAAAGAACCTGGAGACAACCAAGGAGTGCAGCAGGAAGTCAGGACCAGCCAGGTGGCCCACAGAAAGCAGCGCAGGGGCAGCAGTCCAAAGAGGAGGACAGGGACAGAACAGCACTCAGGCGGGCAGAGCTGGCCATGCACTGGCAGGTGGACCCAGTTTGAGAGTGTGGAGTGCGGGGATATTGGAACCTGGGGCTCCTGTACCCACTCAGCCATATGGAGGGTGTCTACTGACTATGACCCAGCAGCAGGTCCTTCCACCTTGGAGACCTCCCAGGGACACCCTTGCCCTGTGCCCAAGGAGGCTGGGGTGCAGCTGTCCATCATAAAGGCAAACACTGAAGACCTGGGTGTCCACAACTCAGGAAAGACCAACAGTTACCTGCAGGCCACTCCTGAGCACACAGATCTCAGCGTGAGCCTGGGTGGGCACCATACTGCAAAGACCCAGGACTTTTAACAGGGTTCTGCAAACCTAGACATGGAATCTTCCAGAGGCTCCCAAGCCAGAAGGAGGTTTCTCTGGGTGACTGCTCACAGAGCAGACACAGAGGCCTTCCCCAGCCACTGGCAAGCCCGGCTCTAGGCCAGGGAGGGGTATGGCGGCAGCACCTCATCTTCTGACTAATGATCGCAGCTTCACCAGATCAGAGCTGGGTGGGCTTGGAGAAGGGCGGGGCCTGCTCGTCAGGACTGGTGCGTAGATGTTCTTCCCAGGCTCCCAGGGGTTCCCGTGAGAGCCAGAGTGCTTTTAGTGCTGACCCTGACCACCCAGGCTCGGGTGTGACCAGCCTCCACTGAGAGGCAGTTCCTCTGCAGAGATACATTCTCCAGCTGCTCACCCTGGGGTCCAAGGTCTCAGGGAGCCTGCAGATGCTTACAGAGGGGCGGGGAGGGGGCGGTACAGTCCAAGCATGGCGTGGCGTGTGTGCACAGGCACCCGTACGAACACGTGCGTGCACAGACTGTACGCCACACCTGCACACACTCCAGCACACAGGGATGTGTGAGCATGTGTGCACATACATATGTATGTACACGAGTGTGTGTGTTCAGGCCTGCAGGCTGGAGTGCCCCCGCAGGTCAAGGAGACCAGGTCTAGGAGGTAAACAGCAGTGCAGTGTCACTGTGGCGTGGGACAGCAGAGTGCTGGGCTTGGTGCCTGGCAAGTGGGGCAGGCTGGGCTCTCTGCTGACCTAGACAGAAAGACTCATAGTTTCCTGTGCGCAGCAGTTAAAAGCCAGAGCTGTGCTAGCTGCCCAGGCAGCTGGGTGGGCCAGCGTGTCTGGGTGACATCCCTCTCCCTCTCCACACCACACGGAGGGTGGCTGCAGCCCACCATCTCCTATGACACACAGGTCATGGCCCACAGTGAAAGCTCTGGGCTCATGTTGAGCAGAATCCAAACTGGGGAGCATCTATACTGACACCCGGCAGCTCTCCCTGGGCACAACCCACCTGGGAGGAAGAGAGGAAGCCTGGCACACAGAGGCCTGGCCTTGGCTGGGGCATCACCACCAGGCCCTGCCCCCAAGAATGAGGGACTGCAGTCCCTATCCCTGGCACATCCTGGGCTTGGTCAGCCGCTCAGAGAGCCCTCTGCTAACTCCCTGTCAGTGGACAGCAGCCCACTCTGGGTCATGTCCATGTCCGTATCTCAGGGCCAAGTGCTCACCCTCAAGTGCCTGGGGCTCTTGGCCAGTCCCACCCATAGGCCATATCTTTTCTTTTCCTTTGAAGCTGCCTGGTACCTGGCCGTGGGCCTGACCCCACGGCTGCTCCGGGTGTCTGGTGACAGGCACACATGGGTTCTCAGTCCCCCACCTGGACTGTGCCAGCCTGGAGCTAGTGCAAGACCCTCCAAAGCCCACCTGGACTTGGCTGAGGGTCCTGTCACCTGAGCAGGTCCTGTCACCTTGCCCTGTCCCCACGGCCTCCAGTGCCCTCTGGGCCTTCAGAAGCTGGTGCCTGACAAAGACCACAGGGGCATGCTTTGCTGCAGTGCCACCCTGGCCTGTCCTGTGCCACTCCTCAGATGCTACAGGCAGGCTGAGCCCCACGTGCCTGCTGCCACCACAGCAGGAGAAATGACTGGAAGGCAGACAGCTCGATGGTTGGCAGAGACAAAGCTGCCAGGAAGGAAGGACTAGGGCCACCAGGGAGTGTCTCTGTGACACCCACACCCCTGCCTGGAACCCACGCGCATCCCTGAGCCTCACAGCTTACGTTCCTGCTGTCCAGAGCCTCACCACAAGGACGGTGCTGGCCTGAGGTCCCAGCAGGAAGTGCCCGGTCTTACCACTAACTAGACTGGAGGGCTGGCAGCACGTCCCCAGGCTGCAGTGCCCCGTGCAGGAGACGGCACCAGTGCTGCTGAGGCTCAGAGGCAAGGGAGCCACGGAAGAGCAGGCCCAGTCCAGGGTCCCCAGAACACATCTCCCACTGTGCCGGGCACTGCAGCGGGGGCAGCCGGTCTCACTGGTGACATGAAGTCTTCTGGCCTGGCAGCTCCTCTCAGGGAAGTGCACTGAGACAATGGGCGGACATCGGCCCCAGCTCCCAGCAGCACTGGCCTGGGCACAGAGGTGTCTGCACACCTCTGAGGGCCCCGTCTCTTCTGGCCACCATCAAGCCTCAGCTCATCACTCCAGGCAGAGGCTGTTCGCTCCCGTCTTACAGATGGGGACACCAAGGCCCTGAGAGGGCTGTGACTTGTCCAGCTCACACAGCCACTGACTTGGATCAGGATGGGCCAGTCTTGAAGTCAAAACCCCCCAGCCCTCCTGCGGATTCCTGAGGGGTCCTACCCAACCCGGGCCGGACCCCAGCCGCCCTCAGCACCCGCCCATCTCTACTGCTGTGAGGCTGGCCTCCTAGTCGGCCTCCTCCTGGCCCCTTTTCTAGGGCAGCTCTCGGCCCCTTCTTGAGAAAGCCTCGTCCAGGGCTGCACCTCAGTGGCCCCTTGTCTGTCTTCTTCTTTGATGCCCAGAGTCGAGTGCCAGCGTCATCTCCCTGAGTCAGACCCAGCATAGCCTCACCCAGCCCAGGCCTTGCCCACACACTGGCCTGGAGAGCGCCCATTTGGCCAGGTCTAGCACTGGGCAGGCCCCTCCTCCCCGACTCCTTGTGGGTGACCCCTCTGTCACACAGGTCACTGGCAGCCCTTCCCACCACCCTCGAGTTCTCACACTCTGCCCAGCAGCTACGTGGCACGTGACTGCAGGCATGTGTGCTTGCTGAGCATGCCTTTGAGGCTGGGGGGGCACACATCACTCGCTGGCATCCTTCACCCACATGGACTTCCCTGTTCCAGGGAAACCTGAGTTGTCTGTGGGGTACAGAAGAGCCACCCTTCCCTGGGGGGCAGTACCTGGAGCCTCAGCAACTTCCAGGGCTGGTCACGATGGGACTGCAGACACGTGGAGACTGCTGTGGTGGGTGGCTGAGACCAGTGTGTGCAGAGCAGCACCCTTGGCTGGCGGCAGAATCCCAAGGCCCTATTGCCTCTGCTCACTCACTCTGTCCTCCTGAGCTGCCGTGGAAATCCAGGCCCGGGGCAGAGCCCCAAGCTCCTTCCACCCCTGTCCGTCCTGCTGGCTTGGGCTGGGCTGCATCAAGGCCTCAAGCCTCTCCCAAGGGGCCTGGGCTGTGTTCTGTTGCCCTGCAGGGCTCCCTAATACGGGCCTGGAGGGCTGGCCAGGCATGTACCCTGGCAGGGCGCCAGGGTTGAGCTCTGTGTCCTGGCCATCTGGGCCCAGGCTAGGGTCCCATGACCTATGGGAGCAGGGCCACTGGGAACTAGTAGTTCCAGGGAAGCTAGTGGCTGGGGTCTCTGATGGGAAGTGCATTAGGGGGTGGGGAAGGGACTCCTGACTCTGGGTCAGCCTAGCTCCAGCAGCTGTCACCTCCAGGGCAGGAGCAACCAGACTCAAGAATGATGGCAGAGGAAGGGGTGCCCTGGCCCCTGGCCTCATAGCAGGGGCTTTGGGGTGTGGAGTAGGAGGGGTCGGGGGGCTTGGGTGGAGACTTCTGCAACCTGGAAGGCTGACAGCTCCTCTCTGGATCCCCACTGCTCAGTCAGGCAGCCTGGGGGCCTGGGAGGACCCCTGGGATGGGGCTGGGGTGTGAGCACTGTGGCGCACACACTAGTGGCCTAGCATGACGCTCATGTTACCCAAGACTCTGGAGGGAGAAGAGCCAGGCATCAGGGCCGCTGGACTCCAGGTCCAGATTCTGACCATGCCGCACCCCCACCTCACCAGGAGGTCCTGTACCAGGAGGTCCCTGCCTAGGAGGAGCCCCCTCTCTTGCCTGGAAGTTCTCCCGAGAGTTCCTCACTTTCCGTGCTGAGGATCACCTCTCTGAGCTGCCAACCTGGGCCTCATCCAGGGCTCATCTCTCCATGCCAGGCTGTCCTTTTCCCACAGGGTCTTCACCCAGTGTGCCCGATACCCCTGCCCCCAGCCCTAGCAGCAATGCCATCTGCAGAGTGATGGTATACTCTGCAGGAATAGAGACCAACTCAGACAAGCAGGGAGGAGGGGCAGCCCCCAGAGGAGACTTGGGTGGAGACTTCTGCAACCTGGAAGCTGACAGCCCAGTGGGTAGACTGTGCTAGGCAGAAGGTGCCACCAGGCCGGGAGCTGAAACTCAGACCCTGGGGACAGGGTGCTCTGGCCTGGTCTGCAGCAGGCAGATGGCACAGGTAATGAACCTGGAAAGAATGGCCAGGGAGGGTGACACCCAGGCCATAGAGGGAGATGGCAGAGGATGCCCAGACTGGGAGGGGCGACAGAAATCAAAGAGCCTCCTGGGGTCACTTACTGTGCCGGAAAGACATCACCTGGCTGACCCCCCAAAGTGGCCATGGGAGGTCCAGGCAACACCCACTTCCCAAGGATACTGTCCATGGCACTCACTCTTAGACATGTGATCCGGGTCCCAAATTGTCCCTACCCTGCACCTCCTGGTGTGTCCCTCCAGGGTGGCTCCAGCTAGGAACCTGCCCCATGAGCCTGGCCCCACACCACAAGGACCCTTTGCCCATCTGCTCCAGCCCTCCTGTTCCACACAGGGGAAGGGTCCCCTGAGGAAACACGTCTCCTGTCTCAGAACAGCCAAGACCAACCACACTGGAGGTAAGGGCCCGACTGGGAAAGGGTTCTGGCAGGAGGGTGGACAGGCTATGTCCAGGGTCCTGGAGTCTGGCTCCTGGCACAGGGTGAGGGGCAGCAGTACCTGTGCTCGGGGGCTGACCGCTAGGGCCAAGCAGGACCTGGGTGGCTCTGCCCTCCTGGGTTCCTCCACCTGCACTGCTGCCCTGTCCCCTGTATGGCCAGTGGGGTGGGCAGGAGCTGTGTGGTAGCCCAGGCCACTGCACTGAGAACACTGGTTCCCAGCCACTTGGAAACCCTTCTTAGCAGATATGCCATCACTGGGGTGGGCAATTGGGACCTCAGAAGAAGTGACCCATGAAAATCACCAAGTGACTGGAACCCAGGACTCCTGTCCACCTCTGACAGCTCACTCACACACCCTTCCCAAAGGGGGCTTTTCTGGAGTTGCCCAGCACTGCCCTGTCATGTGGGAACACCCCATGGGCCCCTCTCCAGGGAGGGGGGTCCAGGCAGGGGGCTAGCAGGCATCCCCCCGCTGCTGGGGGCCTCCTCTGCAGGAAGGAGGGGGCTCTGCACATGGGCGGGCTCCGGACACCACCTCCTTTGCCCATTGGAGAGGCTCAGAGCCCCACATGGACAGACGCACTAGGACATGCAAGGACACCTGCCAGGCTCTGCTGGAGGGGCATCCCTGTCCCCAAGGCAGCTTGGGTCCTGGGGATGAAGGCCTTGGACATGGGGGCCCGGATTCTCACAAGGATGGTATTAGCCCAGACTGGGATCTGCCTGGGCGTGGGGGTGGGGGAGGGCCCAGCTCCTACCTGGGGTAGCATTGGCCGTCCTCACGGAACTCAAAAGTCCTGTTGGCGTAGCCCCTAGTCCCCCAGGAGCCGCCACCAGGCTGTGCCCCACCCCCCAGCACCAGGCATGGCGCTTGGACTAGGCCACGGAGCGGAGCGCAGAGGCAGAAGCGAGTCAGCAGCCCCCTCCGCCTCTTGGCGCTCTTGGCCCCAGAACACTTAACATTTTCTTCACTCAGATTGAGGGAAAACCAGCAGGTTCCAGGGTCCAGGTTCAGGCGCCTGGCTGTGCGCGCCCCCTGCCGGCCACGCTGTGACCACTGCAGCATCGCGGGTTGTCTATCTGCACTCCTGCGGGGGACCCGCGCCTTGGCGGGCCGAAAATAGGAAGGGGCTCGCTAATGGCTACAAAGACACAAGCGTGCTCCGGGTTCCACCGTGGGAGCGGCCCCATCCCGCAGGGGCCTCTGTGCAGCGCGGGTGCAGGGGCACTCTGGTCTTTCTTCCGCGTTTAAAGTGTCCAAGCTACCCACAAGTATTGGTGCGCCACAGCGTCCTGCCCTGACCCCTGCCAGGCACTGTCCACTCTTGTAGCAGCCTGCACCAAGACCCTTGCTGGTCCCACACTGTCCACTGCTAGGAACCCACTGGGCTGGGACTGGGGGCCATCTAGACCCTAGGTAGCAGTGACTGCCCATCTGTCCCTTGTCCTGCTCTTTCAGCCACGTGGGCACATACAGAACACCTTTCACACAGATAGTGTGTTTGTGTGTGTTGGGGGGGGGTACATACAGGACACCCAGACAGCCTGGCTCAGGTTGGGGAACTTTGAGTTCTTTGACTCTTTGTTGTCCAGTGCCATCCAGAACCTTCTCTAAAGCAGGGCAGCTGCAATAAGAGGAAGCGGGTGGAAGAGAGATTAAGATAGAAAGAGACACAGAGATGGAGAGAGAACAAAGGGGGGCTGGGGAATCAGGGGTATAGGGCTGAGCCAACATCAATTCCCCAGTTTTTCCCCAGGCTGGGGATACCCACTGGGGGCCATGGTCAGTATGAGGGGATCCCCAAGGCAGAGCTGGGCCAGGAACAATTGGGAGGGTGCACCATGAGATGGTCCCCAACCGCCATCTCTATTGAGGTCCCTTCTCTGCCTGCAGGACACAGCAGGCTGAGCTCAGGAACTCTGTGGGCAAGGGCTGGGGCACTCAGCAGAAGTCTGGGATGTTCTGCAGTCCCCATGGGTGCAGCCCATGTCCCTCCCCAGGTCACCAGCATTCCTGCATCATGTGGGCTTTCCCATCTTGGTCCTGAGAGGTGGATACTGCTCCCCTGGCTGGGCACTGTTCCCAGCAGGACCCTCACCGACCAGTGGCTGAATGTCCCTCTTGAAAGTCCCAGCAGCTTGGGGAACTCAGAGATGGTCACTCAGGGGGCATCTTGCCTATCACTATTCAACAAGAGCCCTGCAGGGAGGTGCTGCTCTGGCCAATCAGAGATGATTACTCAGGGAGTCAGCCATGGGAGACCCTGACAGGAATGGTGACATTTCTAAGGGCTTTGGGGAAACCAAAACTTGGCCCCAATGTGCCATGGAGAAGCCAGGCCCCAGAAGGCCAGCCTGCATCCCACTTCCCAGCCAGGAGCAGGAAGGTACTGTGCCAAGGTCCAAGACCCTGCCTTCAGCCCCTTCCTCCAAAGGGCAGGCAGGTTGGCACGTCCCCACCCACTGGGACGCAGCACCTGGTGGTCTGCTCTGCTGGGTGTATCCGGGCACTTTCCTTGGGGCACTGCATATCCTCCAAGGCCAGGAGCTGCCAACTCCTCTCCTCCCACGGGAATGCCAGGGCCCCACACGTGCTGGCAGAAGTGAATACATCCAAGCATTTCTGGCTCCGTTTCACACCCTCTTAAGAAACACAAGCTGCCTGGTGAATCCTGGGGCTGTCCCCTCAATCCTGAGGGCTGGCCTGGCCCCGAGCCTTGGGTGGAAACAGGAACTGATCCAGCCTCAGGCCCCCTCCTCATGTTCCACCCATCAGTCCCCTGCCTGACACCCTCCCTCAGTCCCAAGATGTGGCCCTTTTGGCTTCTGCCCCTCCTTTCCTAGGTGGCCTGACCATGTCATCACCCCAATGCCTGGGGCAAGGATGAAGAGGGCCCCTGACTGTGGGCCTTACCCTCCACACCCAAGGAACGCTTTCTCTGTCTCTGTCCGACACAGGTCCCAGCACCCAAAGCTCCACCTGGAACCCCAATCTCAGCCCCACTGGAGGCAGGGCAGGAGCTCTGGCCAGTCTCAGGCCCAGCATCCCAGGGGACACCCCACTTCAGTTCACCTGGAGAGGTGCTGTGTCCCCTGGCCCAGTGACTTCCTTCAGGAACTGCTCCCAGCAAGTCCAGGAAAATCTAACAAAAATGCAGTGCTTCCCGGGCCCCTAACCGCAAGGGGCCTCCGCTGGAAAGAGGAAGGCTCCCTTTCCCGCTTCCTCCCGCCATTCACCATAGAACTTCCCTGGAGCAAGCCAGGCGGCTCCTCGGGATCAGCAGCGACGCAAGCAGAGGCCAGCGGAGCGCAGGTGAGGATCTGCAGCTTCCACCGCACACCCAGAGGCCTGCTGTCGACTGGGGTCGGGTGGAGCAGACCAGGCAGTCGGAGGGCACCTGGCGGGGCAGGGGACGCACGCTAAGTGTCCGCGAGCTGGGCCGAACACGTGGGCTGTGGCGTGACCTGGGGAGGGCTGGCAGGCGCCCCTAGGCTTTGGTGCTCGGCGGGGTTGGGGGGTGGTAGTGCAGAGAAAAAGGTGCAGGGGATGGCGCGCCTCGGGAAGAGAGGGACTCGGCTCGTCCTGCGACACTGTTCGCAGACCAGCCTCAGCTCCCAGCTAGGCTGAGTTCCCCGAAGACAGGG